AAGATTCTGAGGCTGAAGTCGGAATTTTGAGGTAAAAGTCAGAATTCTGAGATTAAAGTTGGAATTTTGAGAAGAAAGTCAGAAGTCTGAGATTAGCCAGAATTCTGAGACAAAAGTCAGAATTCTCAGATTAAATTCAGAATTCTGAGATGAAAGTCAGAATTCTAAGACAAAAGTCAGAATTCTGAGATTAAAGTTGGAATTCTGAGAAGAAAGTCAGTAGTCTGAGATTAGTCAGAAGTCTGAGACAAAAGTCAGAATTCTGAGATTAAATTCAGAATTCTAAGATTAAAGTCAGAATTCTAAAATTAAAGTCGGAATTCTGAGATTAAAGTCAGATTTCGGAGATTAAAGTCAGAATTCTAAGATTAAAGTCAGAATTCTGAGGTTAAAGTCAGAATTCGGAGATTAAAGTCAGAATTCTAAGATTAAAGTCAGAATTCTTAGAAAAAGAATTCTCATATTATATTGAAATGAAATGTAAAAATCAGTTAACTTTTTTTAAACTTTTTTTTCAGTGGCCCTAATCCTCTTCTGTAAATGTCTCTGTAAAATCCCCTATAATAATAATAACAATAATAACTCTCTCCTCTAATCATTTACTGTAACATCCATACAAAATGATTCAAACAGGCCGTTTTTATGTAGGGCAGAAGAAAACCTTTCAATATAGAAGCACAGCAGCGATTCTGCTGCCAGTAATAGATAATAAAGTCTCCGCGGAGCAGCAAGTGGGGCACAGATTAATTTTCTATGGGGGTCAGAGATGCTGTTGCTGCTCTAGACTCTGCTGGCTCTGGCCACGCCTCTGCTTTGCTGCAGTTCGATGAGCAGCAGAGACAGAAAGCAGGCAGCTTCGCTTTCCTCACTTTATTTCACTCGGAAGACGAAGGAGAAGCAAGGCGGTCGCTGGTTGCCCCCACCTCCTCCTCCTCCTCTCTGTCACTCTCATGCAGCTTTGAAGAAGACGCCCCCTCCTCCTCCTCCTCCCCGCACCTGCTCCGCTTCGTCTCCTCGTCGTCTCGCAGGAGTCCCAGCCTCTCGCTCTGTGCGGGCGTCGCTCCTCTCATTGTTCGACGCTGTTTCCCGACCATGACTTCGACGTACAACCTCGATTTCCTGCCCCTCGCCGAAAGTCGGTTAATGACTTCGAGCGACACAATGTAAGTAGCTCCGAAATCGATTCCTTTGGTGTTAAAACGTCGCTTCAGCGGAGCTTGAAAAAGCACAGAGTGTTTTATTTCTCTCTTTTTAGGTGGGAAAAATAAGACAGTTTATGCTAGCGCTAGCTTCATGCTAACGTTGCTAACCGTCTGCGCGGTGACGGGATCCGCTCACCTGGAGTTCAAAACCCTTGCTTAAACTTTACATAATGCAAAAAAATAACATTTTTAAATTTAACCCAGAACACCAAAGCGCCCATTAGAGCGGTGTATGTTTATTAACTGGAAGCTGAGATGTTTTTCTCGGTGAATAAACGCAGTTAGCTGCGCGGGGCGCAGCACAGTCAACTGACATGTGCTTCCGGAGAGATCACACGTTTCAGTATCAGTTGAGAAAAACAACCGAGGACAGCTTGTCCAAACACTAACTCCTTATCTATTTGCACTTCTGCAACTGAACAAACGCAGCACCACCTTCGTGTTTGGAGCTTTATTCCTGCAAAGGCACATAGTTTCAGGATTATTAACCGAATTAGATGTTTAACAACACTTTACGGCTAATATCTCCACCATTTTCCGCCTGTTGGGAAAATTTTGAAGGGTGTAACTTTAGTTTGAGACTTATTCACGTCTCTAAAGCGTTGATCGCTCAAAATGTGTGCTGAACTAGAGAAAACACGTGGTTTGCTGCATTATTGAGCCATTAACGGAGGTCTTGTGACAGAGCATGTAAACAAGAGGGGGATTTGGAGGCTGGCTGCAGGAGTTAACTTCACTAATGCTCACATAACATTACCTAATGTCATTTAGGAAACAAGTTGCGCAAGAGCTCAAATTTAACCGGTTACCACATGAATAACACATGAAACTTATTCAGCTGGATTTTTAAAATCTCTAAATATGTAGAAGATATAAAAATCTTTATTTTCTGTGGGGTCAAAGCTTATAATTTATTCTCCTGCTTTTGTGTAGTGTAATAAAAAGTGTCACCCAGGCTTGGGCGGGTTACCAGTATAGTGGTTTTCCACCATCCTACAGTTTGAAGTAATTGAAATGATATATAGAGTCCACAAAATGCTTTGAGTGCTGCACACTGCTGGTCAGCTCGATTAACCTATTTCCTCGCTTTTCTGTTACTTTCAATGCAATGTGGCTGTTTCTAAACCAGGGCTCCTGCAGATCCTTAAAAAGTCTTTTATATTGAATTCTTTAATATAAAATCAAGGCCTTTATTGATAGTAAAATGTCTTAAATCAGCCTTTCATAGGTCTTAAAATTGGTACCACATCATAAATGTTTTTTTTTGGAAACCAAAACAAAAAAAAAAAAAAACGGCAAAAATTTTTATTACATTTACCAAACTGCTCGCTGTAACCATTACTGATTCCATCCCAATAGTGGAACCAATAAAAAAAGATGTTGCGGCTGGACCTTGGGGTGATGTGCCAGTAACTTTTTATCTGGACAACATGGGGAAGTTTTAAAGACTATCCAAGAGTTTTCTGCATGGCTAAAACCACTACTAGGGAATGTAGATGAGGCACGATGGGAATCAAGGCAGTGGAGACACATGTGTGAAGCATGAAACTTGAAGTGTCAAAATAAAGTATAATGTAGAAGCAGAAGGTATTTCTCTGTTCTGTTCCACCCTTGTCTCTGCAACGACTCCACAGCATCTCTCGCACCACCAACAGCACCATCAGAACCAAATCTCTGCATAATGTTTGGAGGTATGCCAACTATGAAAAAAAAGAAGGATTGAGTAGGGAACAAAACAACGTTCGTAAATTCAGTTCAGTATTTTCAAAATTTTTTATTTGTTTTTAGCTTTCTTCCTATATGGAAAGTTTTTCAAAATTTGAAACATATCAACTGGGCCAGAAAGTAGTAGTAGTTTGGGGTAAATTTGTCGCTACAAGGTTTTTCTTGTGTTTATTATGAAGTTGGTCTTAAATTTTTATTTTAAGTGGCATTAAAAAGTCTTGAATTTAACTTGCCTTATGCTGTAGGAACCCTGTAAATATTTTTTGTTGTGAAAATCGTATAAACCTCTACAAGCGTTTATCCTTTATGGTGTATAAATACTAGAGGTTTTCCTATGGAAGAGTAGAAATAATTTTCAGCACAATCTCATGTTTTAACCGGATGCGGTTATACCACGAGAGTCCTTAACTAACTAACCAATATCACATGGTATTTGTAGTCCATTTGTTTTCATTGTATCAGCAGATATTTTCTCTGGCTAAAAGGGATGCAAAACTGAAACTTTATGTTAAGAAACACTCATTATGACAGTTTGTGGCTAAAGTTGAGCAACCTCATTCATGTTTCTATTTGCAGCTTTTTTTTGTCTGAACTAGATGTGTTGGAATTAACAATATTGAAACATGACTTATTTACCATGTTAAGAAAACGTTGAAGTCGAAACCTTTAATTTGATCTAACAGTTGTCAATTAAAACAGCAAAGCAACAATTATCCCTATGATTTAAAAAAACAGCTTAATACTATTAATTTATTTTAATGAAACAATAACACAACAGCAACAGGTTGGAGGGGGTGGGACTGTCCTGGTGCTATAATGCTTTGTGCAGCTGGGAAAAAAAACGACACTCTTTTCTCTGGCATATCAGTGAACGGACTTTAACCCTTAGGAGTGGTATGAAGGAAAATTTGGGCAGTTTCCAGAGCGTAAAGTTTAAACTTCTGTTTACAGAAAGGCTGGTAACCGGCACCCTCCTTATCCAAATATAAAACATCTAAAGTTTATAGATTTGTTTAAAGGTAATAAGTGGTAACATAGATGTATTCTAACCATTTCACATCTACCCAAATTGTCTTAACTCCTCGCAGCAGAAGCGTTTAAATAGCAGGCTCTAGTCCCTCCCTGCAGCAGCTCACTGTACCTAAACTGTCAGCCGTTGCTGGAAGATTCAAGGTAAGGTTTGTTCAAAAGGTAGATTCCCTTCTGAAACGGGCAAGCAGGGAAAGAGAAACTGAAATGTCGAAGGAAGTCACATGCTAGTTGTGCTAACGCTATGACACTGATGTTTGAGAGCAACTTAAAAGGTCAGTAAAGCTCCTGTATCAGTTACAGTGAAGTAGTAAACCTCTCAAGATGACAGGAGCTACAGTAACGCTATCGGTTTAAGAGTTAAGCTACGTGCACAACCCTATAGCGCTGTTCACTTTAACTGTTTAATGAATTAACACACGTAATGTTAATTAGCTGGCAGCTCTTATGTCATGAAGCGAAAAAAAATAGCCCCCCCTCTTTACTCTCTGTGGTTATAAAAGTATTTCGGTCTAATGTGGCCAATATCGGCAGAGGTTACAGTGAATCTACGCTATAGCAAGCCCAATCCATAAAAAATGTCAAGTATTTTTTTTCCCCTCACTATTGGTATTTGACATTTTAGGAATGTTGCCATGTTTGGGAATAGACCTTTTTCACACTTCCGGGTTTTAAAGCGGATGTGGGGTTTGACAACTTCCGGTGGCTATAGCGTTAGCATAAAAGTCTAAGAAAATGGCTCAGTCTC